CGCCCCGGGAGACACGAGCCCCAACAAACCCCTCCGCTGCCCGGGGGAAGACGACTCGTGTCCCTCGGGGAGGCCGTGCTACCCTCCGTGCGGAGGTGACGGCCACGGAGCAGGTGTCAGTGTGACAAGTGTCCCCGCTGCCACCCCAGGGCCGGCCACCTTGCGCCAGTGGCACGGAGGTCAGGGCCATCCTGCCGCCACCCAGCGCAGCGCGCCGCATGTCAACACTGCGCCCCTCTGCCTCACAGCGTGCGGCCTGCGGCGCTTCTCGCTTCGTGCTGCTTGGAGACACGGAGAACTGTACAAAACTGAGGCAGAAAAGAGACATTAGGTCACCCCGGTCCACCTCCTAGGCACAGGGAGGATTGTTCTTCACTTGATGTCTCCTCTTGCTCTGATTTCAGCAGGACTCCTTCCCTTGGTCCCCCTCTGCCTTTCCTCATCTCACACTGGTGTTTTTTTGGTCTTTGTTCAGTCGAGTTAGGGACGGTATCAAAAGCAGCTGGTGCTGCATTTGTAAAATAGCCAGTGGCACTGGCTGCAGCATATTGAGAGCACTCAACGCTAGCAGGACCTGCTGGCGATCAGATCACTGCACACAGACTAATGAAGGACACAACAGACTGAAACCACTGCTCTTGCAGGGAGCCAAAAGCTCACAAGAAGCCCTGGATATCACATTAATCCCACAGACGCCCTGGATTTGTACATCCTTATCAGCACACATGCCATTAGCATTACTCCCAGGAAATGCATTGCTTGACACATGTCATGAGTTTTTATGATTAAGATTTCCAGAAGATGGGAGGCTATTCCAGTTTTAGCGGGGTAGGAACCAGGCAGGAGGCCCAACAATGTCCCCTGTCTTGACTGAGATGGCAGCTGTCACTTATCTCTCTATTTAAAGAAATGGTTACCTGTGGTGGTCCCTGGGTTATAAAGCCCATCTCTATGTATAGCACTCTTCAAGCTCAGAACACTTGACAAATATTATCTGTGAGCTTCTGCAACATCCTTCTGAAGTAACACTGTTTTCTCCTCTTACAGATGTTAAAAAAGAAACAGAGAAAGCAACTGACTCGGCTCAACCTCAAGCAAGAGGTTTCAGACCAAGAATTAAAATCATGAGCAATATCTTGGCTTTAACCACTGCAGAGCACTCTTCTCTCATATGTCTTTTGAAAGCATAGTAGACCTGAGTGCTGCAGACAGATATCTGAAGTTAGATATTCAAAATAGTTGTGAAAAGCGTGTTCCTATAAACTAAAAATTTGTCATTCTGGTTGCAAGCCACTTTTCTCTCACTACTTGACCTACCTGCAGCCCACGTGTAACATACGCTCTATGCTGTCCTCTCCATTCTCTGTCCTTTCTTGGTGGTCTCGCTTGCTTTCTGTTCCCCTGCTGCCACAAAGCGCTTCTTGTCCCTGACGCTGCGTTCCAGGCTGCCGCCTGCCACACTGACAGCTGATGATGTGCTGAAAAAATTCTGAAAAGAATATGTTCAATATTATTAATGTTAGCACAGGAGATGAGATAGCCAGGGACAGGGCATAGGATATGGCAGAATCCCATTTTCATAAGCAGCTAGTAGGATGGGGCCAGCATCCCAAAATAAATGGTGTTTAACTGGCCACCCCCACCTCAAAATGCAAAATTAAAATGATCTAAAATGCATCTCCGCTAACAGACAAATAACTTTCATCATCACCCACATTTATCCTTCTGGAGCCCCACACATACATATTGTTATTAGCATTTCTGTTACTCACTTTACTTTCTGCTTGGACAATCGTCTCATGGTAAGACCTGTGGATACAATAGGCCAGCAGCTATCTGTCCCATACAGAGTTTGGAGAACCTCAGAGAGGGCCCATCCCAGAGAAGCTTTCTCATGTTCTACAGCGAGCCCAGTCCATCCTAGGGCAAAATGGGAGGAGTTTAGTTGGCTTTATGTGATATTCATGCCAAGCAAATAGTCTATATAGTTTGCTAGGGATGCTTGGTGACTAAGGTTAATGAGTTGCATGGAAACTGAAGTCATGTCAGATGCTTTCCCCAGCCTTCCCTTATGAAACACAACCAATGAAACAACCACACTCTGCAGCATAATCAGAGCTACATGTTTAGACAATTTATAGTGGCTTAGAACACTAGGGGATTCAGAGTACTACCTAGCTGGGCAGGGTGAGGTGGTGATTTATAATTAGCTAATTTGTTCCCATTGTAATGTCAAATACTGGATTAGAAAAAGACTATGGAATTTGGGACACAACGTTCTAGTAGAGAAACCAAGGCATTAGCATTAAGTCATGGCAAAATCCAAACTGGGACTCGGATGGCTCAAATTTCACCCCAGATGTACTGACTTTATCATTTTTGTAATTCCCATTTCTAATTGCAATGGAGAAGTTTTGTCAGTGAGTTTCTAGAAGCTATTGCACTTCTGTCAATACCAGCCAAACCAGGTCATTTTTGAAAACAAATATACTTCCAATTGTATGCTATAGCTTTTTAAAATTATTATTATCTTTCTGCTTTTTTTTGTGTTGGTGGTGGAGCTTTTTATTCATAAGACAGAGGGGATAAAATTACGCAATTAACTAAACTTTATGTTAATGTCAGCATTTTGATTAGCTAAGCTGATTAATTCAGTAGACAGTTTACAGATGGAATGATAGCAGGGAAAGACAAAAGCAAAGATGAAAAGGGATTCAGGGAGAAGATGAAGCCACAGATAACAGGAGTCAAGGGGAAAGTGCAGTGTCAAAGAGGAAGAGTGAATGCAGACAGCTTCATACACACTGTAAAGCAGGGCAAAAGGACATCTTGCTAAGACTTGATTAAATTAAGAGCATGCACAGAACAAGCTACTAAAGCTCACCTATTTACCATTGCCTTACACTAGAATGAAATGAAATTAAAAGGCAGCAGGTAAGAGATGCTTTAACAAATACCTTGTTATAGTTGCAATTTATAGTTAATCTACAGAGCTCATTTCTATAGAGTATTCTTGGAAAAAAATAGTTGTCTGTTTTAAAATCTTGAAATTCTTTATGAATTAGAGTAACATGCAAATTCATTAGACTAACTAGGAAAAAGCTGCTGGAATTCATGGTAAAAAATGGCTCCAGTGTTCCTTCCTCACGCACAACAGGATTCTGCAGTTTGTCTGCAACATGGCCTAACATATGGGAATATGTTCCAACCAGTTTGGATGATCAAACTCTATATAGGGAAAGGATCAAATATAAAAGTTGCTAATAAATACAAGTCATTACTCCGTTGCTGCAAATTTAATCAACTTAAGATACCAGAGCAGTTTCCTGCAAAGCCTTTTACCAGAGTGCACCCTTCCAGTTCTCCTAAGGGCTGCAGACCCCACAATACACAAAACAGTTTCTATTACCTTCAGTGCTGTAAGTAACTGTATGCCAGGCACTGCTAGCATACTGCAGCCCTTCAATTCTCATTTAAACTTGTGCTTTGATGTGTTCATCTATATTTATTACTTAAGGAAACAGTAAGCCAAATAAAAAAGTAACACTATCGCCTATACACTGTTAGTAAGAGTAATCCTATATCTCTCTTTTTCCATATCATGTGCACAGATCTGAGGCAATCATGGGGTATGTATATCCATTTCAAAATCATTTCACACTCTGTGCACAATCTGACTACTGAACACTTTTATTTCTTTATATAATGCCCAAACTTCTTAAAGAAGCCTCTTTAAACAGTGGATAATCACATAACTTTGTCAATAAAAAGTCTATTTCTGTCCATTGTGAGTTTGTATTTATGCCATAACTCAGTTCAGAGCTGATAGTGACAACGTCTTTGGAAAAGAGGGCATTGATTCATAAGTACAAACATTAGAATTTCCATTTTTTCCACTAAGGTTTAGGGATTTCAGATTTGCTGATTTGTTCCACTTCCAGATGACAGAGCAGGTGAGAGACTCTAGCTCCCCCAAGGGCAGTAGTCGTAGCTGCAAAGTTTAAACCTCGTGCAGAAAACTGTCATTTGGCTCACCCTGAAGTCTGAAAGACTCGGGTTTTACTTCCTAAGGGAGCACTTGGAGCACTAGGCTGGGTCACCTGCCTCGCTCCTCCATTAGAGCTTGTTCACAACACATACACAAGATACTAATTACTACAAGAAGAAGCTTAGATTGAGCAGGAATGTGAAGCTGTCTCTCCCTAGTCCTGCAAGCACTGGTCTCTTGTCACTACCCAAGAAATGGCACCTTGAACGTGAAAAACATTCCTTACACAACTTGAATGAAGTATTCATTGAGTACAATAATGAAGTACTGTATATTTTGTATATATTCATTATATATATAATAAATATATTATTGAAATAATGAAGTACAATAATGAAGTATTCCCTCAGAAGAAAGCAGGATGCAGTAACATACATGGTAACAATGAGCAGAAAGACCTTCCCCCCTTGCCACCTGAAGACTTAACCTACCATCCAATTCAAACAGCATCTCGGGTTTAACAAGGCAGTAACTAGAAGAAAAAGGCAACTGATGCTAATGAGCTGTTATTAGAGGGAGTTCACAGAACAGCCCAGCATCTGAGAAGACAGCAGAGCAAAACCATAACGAAGAAAAGACACATCCTATTGTAACAGCACAGCCTAACCCCCAGGCAGGACATTTTGACCCTTGTATACCAAAAGATCTAACACAGCCTTTAAATCATATTTTGTCTTGCATTGTCCATCTGCACAGAGATGAATTTCACCTAACATAATTTGTTTTATTGATTTCAGTAGGATTAACTGAGAGTACAGAGATGACTATAGTTGTACACTTGCCCTGATATGAAGAACACAATGTTCTGATAACCTGCAGCATTCGAGATAAAAGTCAATCCTTCGGAAAAGCAGCGGTTAACTTGAAAAGTGTTTTCATTCTCACATTAACTGTGTACCCAATACTAAAAGACACGTTCTCATGTTTTATAAAACTTATTTTCTAATTAAAAGTTGTTTGGCTTTGTAACTCACACTTTGTGGCAGTTGTGCTGGATCTTGGTAATTATAGCATAAAATCAACTGCTTATTTGATTGCTATTTCAGCACAACAGAAGGCACAAGAGGTAAAAAGAAATGTGAAAGAGTTTTATAATAACAATTCGCACCTCGTATCAATTTGAACAGTGTTACTCATTTTCCAATAGAGCTGATGCAGCCCCTATACAGCAGGCTGAAGTCAAGTGACAATAGATTTACTCTCACAATTTCCTTCTGCAGACTCCTCAGAAGGAGCCCGGGAGCCTCAAGGAATCTGCGCGCTGGTTTACAAGGCGAGAGATACTTCCAATCATCTGTGAAATGTTGTTTTAGTATCAGTCCCTCTTGAAATTGCTCTTGAACATGTAATCTGCTAGCTAGAATCCTGTTTCTATATGAATTCTGTTGTGTACTCAGAAACACTCAGAAATAACCAAGCGAGCGCTCCAGCACTAATGTGCAAGATCTCTGCTATCTCCAAATGTCAGTTCTGGGGATGCTTCTTGTTAGAGCATCCTGCCTGTGGTGACCGAGCGCTCTGTTGTGCATGCACCACCATGCATCTCTACAAGTTTGAGGGCTGGCTTAAGGTGCAATTGATTCTCACAAAGTCAAGTGACAGCCACCCATCTTCCTGGTCTAGGTAATCAATCAGGACTGCTTTTCTAATACACCTGGCCAAAATACCTGCATCCGCTGTAAAGTACCTTAGAGCACTGAAAAGATTTCTACCGTAGAATAGCATAAATAGGCACTATTTGACTTTTCTGCAATATATATGCAACCTTCACATTCTATAGGACACACATGCTCACCAAGGCCCACATACCACTAAGTGATCTTTGGATTTGGTTTCACTACTTTCACACTCGTGCTGCTTCCACAACTCCTAGGAGTTAGGATTTACATAGGAATAAGGCAGTAAGCACAATAATTCTTCTGGGCATCCTTTAAAATTAAAGAACTTTAAGAATAAATTTAAGAGACAAATGTAATTTGAAATGATTCTATAATCTTGAATTTAAAAAAATTATTTTTTAATATTTAGTGCAGAACCAAGTTTCCAGAGTGCAAAATTAATCTGAGAAAAGCGCTGTGATTTTTTTTTTCATTCAGCTGTATAACAAAATCATAATCTTTAAATGGTTCTTTTACCTTTTAGATAGGGGTTGGGTGAGCAAACCTGACTGCTTCCCTTTCTACTAGAGGCCCGCCCTGGTACTCCCTAAGGATAAGGATGGTGCTCATCTTTTGAGAAACATTATCTGACTTTTGGGGTAGCCATTTGAGATAATCATTTGTCTATCTTAACATATGCAACACAATGACTGTAAATCAAGCAAAATCCTTCCTTTCAATGTGTCAGCAACTATTTCCTTGGTACTGCCATGCACTAGCATGGAGTTTAATCTTAAAAACACATCAACTGTCATTTTATTGACTCCAGTGGTCTTTGAATAGAGCTAATAATAACCTCCTGCTCTATAGCCATGCACATCGCTGAGGGCGACGAAGGCTAGGGAAAAACTGGGGAGGCAGGAGGAGTCTTTTTTGTTAAAATAAAATCTCAAAAGCTGTTATTTCTGCATACATCAGGAAGTGCAAAATGCAGGAGTGTAGGCACTCGCTTTTGGAAGGGAAGGCGGCAGAGAGAGAGTGCCTTGCAGTTCTGCCTTGAAAAAATGATCTTTGCATGAGCAGTTAAAAGCACCAGCTCTGCCTCCAGCACCGAGGCTACGGCACCCGCGCTCCAAGCAGCACCCTACTCCACAATCAGTTCCCCCGTCATTAACCAATTCATTAAATCTCCAAAGGCAACACGATTCAGAGTTTACTTTAACACCTTCCTGTTAATCAGCTCTGCAGAGTCATGAGAGGCCGAAGCTGAGAGG